CAGAAAATATTGATTAATGGCATTTAAAATCATTTTATATCAATCTTGCTTGCTTTATTGGATTAAAATTGAGTAACCTACTTCAATTGAAAATTCTTAAATATTTAAATTTATGTCGAACTAATTAATGATGAATATTAAACACGATGAATAGGTTAAATGAATAAAATTTGTTGGCTGTGATATTCAGGAAGGGTAATAATTTCACAAAATTATAATTTTTTATCATTTCACTTTATGTGTTTAAAATGTTTTAATTAAGAATTATTTGAAGAGATATTCTTATACAAATACCATTTTAGTCAGTTAGATATTTAGATTTAGACATTTTAGACAATCTTTAAGATTATTTCTACATTAAGATGAAAATATTGCAGTAAACAATTCTTATATAAACAAAATTTATTATTTATATTTTAATAGTTTGTTACATTTAAATCGACTGCTTTATTAACTTCAATTTTCATTTATAAAGAAAATTTGTTATACTCAACACAAGGCTTGAAATTTAAACTGGGAAGATGAAATTAACGTTTTCATTCAATGGTAGAGAAACATATCCTAATTTATTTTAAAAATTTACAAACAAAACTTCTAGAAAATTGAACAGCAATCAGAAATATGTGTTCTATAAGCTGTTGCGGTGTATTGATCATTCTCTTTCTAAAGAGATAATATTGGATATATCACTAATAGTGATATGAATTCATACATGTTGCACCAAGAACATGAAAGGCTATTTTCACTTGATATTATATTTGAGATCTATATACCTAAGTGATAATCTGATATGGACAAGATGAATATAGAACACGAAAGCAGTGATACTGAAATCACATTCATAGGACGGAGTTATGGCCAGATTTTATAATATTAATGGAATTAATTGCTATAAGTTAAAAATAACATATAATATTCCACATTTAACACCCACCAAATACTTACAGATTGAAACAAATAATCACCCAATAAATAATATAATTAAACTAGAGAAATGCAAATTAATACAAAATATTATATATAACAGAATAAAAACGAGTACAATAATAGACATAAATCAATGATATACATGAACATTATACAAGACAGCACAAAAAAATTCACATTGAATACAATAGAAAAAACAAAATGAGAGAAATTGTTATATGAAGCGCAACAAACATTTATAATGAATTTGTGAGCGATATAAATATGACTTGTGATTGCAATAATTTCAAAAGTATAAAAAAAAGTAAGTAGAAAATTAAAAAATATTATGTAGAAATTGAAGATAAAAAAGATTGATGATGAATAGCTGACTAAATGCAAGGATAAATAAATATACAATGAAATGGATTTACATAATATCCATGTATAGACTATTTATAATTTTTTTTTTCATAATCTCTCATACCAGGCATCTCTGCCTGAGTGAGATGTGAACATAATAATATTATGTCAATGAAAAAACAAAATTGTGTCCCAGATTTTTCTTGAAACAGTATTTGTCCCGAATTCAGTTTTGTTGCTCTGGATTGTCTGTAATTTTTGTGAAGGTTATTATTAATGTAAATTTAAAATATATTGCAACTTGAATTATTTTTACATTCAGTTAGTTTTACTTTCATTTTATTTTTAGATTAGATTTTATGCAATGCTTCCATGCGAAGAAGACCAAAGTATAAAATCATTTGTACTCTACAAGTGCTTTAAAAAATTGGTTTATTTGAAAAGGATCTGATTATTTTTTTCTTAAATAGTATTTGCTATGGGTAATTTTTATTAAAAAATCATTTCACCAGTCACAGATGAAAATACTCGAGTATATTTGTCTGTAACTGGTGAAATGATTTTTTAATAAAAATTACCCATACCCAAGACGAGTATATTCGTTATGCATATAAATCTTCAGCTATTGGCTACATAGATTGCAATTTTTCAAAATAGAAAAATGAAACATATTCTTAACCAAAGCAAAGTTCTTACCTAAAATGAGCAAATCAATAATACCCCCGCCCCCCTTTAGTGCTTACGTAATACTTGAACGGCCCCTAACCACTTCTCCCAATCACTAATAATTGAATGCTTTTTAGAGCATTCAAATCGGATGCACCGTTCTCTCAAAAACGCGATTTCTATTTTCTGCACTCTTTGCTCTGTATCTCCGTAACGGCTGGACCTGCCTTTGCCAAAAACTAATCAGCAAATCTGCCTATTAATAGGAATCGAAAGTTTTTTTGAACCATTAATTCAAATCGGTTGATCCATGCGCCGGCCGGATTTAGAAATTTGGCGCCCTGGGGCACTGACAAAAATGTCGCCCTATCCCTGAATGTTGACTTAAATAGTTTTACAATATCGGTGTTTCTAAAATTAAAATAACTATTTGATTGCAGAAAATTTATTGCGCATTACATACTATAGTGGTGCTTGGCATCGTGCCTTAAGGCAAATTGCAGGAACATACCGTACCGAAAATTAAAAGTAAAAAATATATAAATTTTTTTGAAAACTTTGAAAAAATTTACTTTTTTGAAAATTTTGAGTTTTTCTATATTTTGAAAATTTTGAACTTTTTTTAACGCGCTGCTTTAGCTGCTTAGAGACAAAATATAGAAGCGCGTAAGCGCCGCGTCGCCATTATAACGGATAAATAATGTTACAGAACCCATAAAAATGTGAACAAAATGTATACTTATTATTAAAATATCTGATAATTTAATGTGCATATGTTTAATGATCACTTTTGACTGCCAATGTTTCTTTTTCATTTTTTTTTATTGGATCACTGAAACCGCTAGACCTGCCTCCCACAAATTTAAGCAGTTGTTTATTTTGTCTATACATGTAAATTTTTAACTTCCCGTAGGGCAAGTTATAGTAATCGCAAAAAAATCGAAAATGAAAATTTTTGCTTTTCTCGACGTTTCAAAGGTTTCTGAATATTTTGGCATACCTTAGAAAAAATGGATGTATGTGTGTGTGTGTGTGTGTGTGTGCGTGTGTGTGTATGTATGTGCGGATACAAATTTTCGTCGATGATTTCAGGAACACCGATCAACCGATTTGAATAATTCAAAAAACATTCGATTCGTATTGATAAGGAGACGTGCTGATTAGTTTTTGGCGAAGTCAGGTCTAGCCGTTCCGAAGATACGGGGCAAAAAGTGCCGAAAACGGTAACCCAGTTTTTAAGAGAACGGAGCGTTCGATTTTAATAATTCAAAAAACAGATTACTTGTATTGACAAGGGGAAGAACCGATCAAATTTTCATAAAGGCAGGTCTAGCGGTTTCGAAGATCTAATGAAAAAAGTAAAAAAAAATGCCATTTGGCGGTCAAAAATGATCATTAGACATATGCACATCAAATTATCAGATATTTTATAGAGATTTTAACAATGAGTATAATTTTGGTTTACATTCCTATGGGTTCCGTACCAATGTTTACGCGTTAGACGTCGACGCGGCGCTTACGCGGTTTGATATTTTGTCTTTATGCAGTTAAAGCAGTACGATTGCTTTGAAAAAAGTTTAGATCTTTCAAAATATGTCAAAATAAAGAAAACATTTTTAAAAAAAAAAAAAAAAAAAAAAAAAATTTAAAAAAATTTTTTTTTTCAAAAAAAAGTAATTTTTTGTCTAATTGTTTGTCAAAAATCTTATTTTTCCGAAGTAATTTTTTTTCAAAAATGTTAATCGTTTTTAAAAAAATAATAATTTTTGGTACGGGAAGTTCCAGCAATTTGCCTCAAGGCACGATGCCCTAATTGCCTTAAGACAGAATTCCACTTACAGCTAGTTTCGAATGATATTGGACGTTTCGTTTCTCAAACTGATGGACCGATTCTGCGCATAACAGAGAAATGTTACGACATGGCTATGTTACGCTCCGACTCCCCATACATTATGCGAATGAATCATACTGAATGCTGTCAATATATCATATATTTGCTGTTCATTCCGGCGTTTTAAACATAAACTGCAACGTCACTCGTATCTTACCTAAGAGGAATCAGAAACACACACTTATCTAACATCGTTTTTTTGACATTTGTGCGGCTTTTAGGTTATGTTTTGTATGAGAAAACCTGAGAAATTCGCCTGACTGAACACCAACCGCATAACTTTTGTCTATATTACTATGGAAAATTCTTCATAACATGAACTTATCATAACATTGCGGCAGAATCGGTCCCTGAATTATCATTTTTGGCATTTTGGCATTTTGGCTCGTATTTTTGTACAGTTGGACCTGCCTTGGCCAATAACTAATCAGCACGCCTCGTTATCAATAGGAATCGAATCATTTAAATAAATTTTAATTTTAATAATAAATAAAAGTTATAATTTTCAAAAATTTCAAAATATAAAAAAAGGTTTTTTAAATTCAACTTTTTTCATTTTTCAAAAAATTTAAAAGCTCTTTATAAAATGTAAGTTTCAGTGAGGAAAGTTTCACTAACTTATTGCCTTATGGCACAATGCCATGCGTCGCTAGTTTTTCGGCGCTATAAGCTTGGAAGTGCACAAATTCGTCATCTTAAGAGGACTCGAGATCTGAAGAACATATTTTTCTTAAACTTTCAGCTCATTTATGGTATATTTTTTTTCTAACTATCCAAATGTTTCCGTCCCCCGAAAATTTGCCGACCTGGGCAGTAGCCCCGACCCCGACTGCCCCTACTGTTAATCCAACACTGCATGCGCCCGAAAACGTGGACGAAAAAATGCGGACACACAAAACACACACACACCCATTTTTTTCTGAGGTATGCCAAAAAGTTCAGAAACCTTCAAAACGTGGAGAAATGCAAAAACGGGAAGTTAATAATTAGCGGATAATGGTATTTCAACTTAAAACAAAACTTTACCTCGATTCAGATGACGCGCGCAGTTCAATGAATGCGCCAAAGTCACATGGTTAAGTAAGTTAACTTAACTTAAAAGAACGCCTATGCCCATTCCCCTTCCCCCCGACTTCAGTTTATTTGAAATAAAAACATAGTCACCAGGTTGCATAAAGATTTGATTCAGTTTGTTATTGTGTGAAGTGCACGTTCAATTGATATACTTTGTTTATTCGTGTTGATATATGTTATTACGTGTATTATTATCTTAGTTTTATGATGACTGTTTAGATGTTTAATATAGAAGTAAGTATTGTTATGGCCGTATATTTAACCTTTTAACTTATGATTAAGATCGAAAATGTTGGGCCAAAGTTGTGCAAGCTGGCGCAGCGTTCGTGACTATTTTCCCACACAGTGTGCAGTTTATCACAAAAATAAAAATAATTTTGTGTTTTATAGTTTTGTGTAAATAAATATTTTGTAATACATGCGATCACCGTATTGGGTCATGCCCGTAATGCTTAATATTTGCTTCTGGCCCAATTATCGTACAGGAGCTATACCCGTAATATTTTCGTTTGGCCTAGCCATCGTACGCGGGCTATGCTCGTCATTATAATTTAAAGGGTTAAAAGAACTACAAGGCTTGTAGTACAAGCTATAAGTCTTTGCGTAATCATTACTTAGAAAGTAAATTTGATTAAACGAGAAAAAAATCTAAATCTCGTCATTTACTATTTTTATCATTTTCATGTTTGCATTTTTTAATGTGTTCTTGAATATAATATCAAATGATAATTGCTTTTCGGAGTCATTGCTCCATAACCGTATCAAAATTTGTTTCGAGGACCCCCTCAAGAAGGATTTTTTTTTTACAAAATATAAAAATTCATAAAATTAAAAGAATATCTATTTATCCTTCTTATTATTTATCTATCTAATTTTCTCTCATTTTCTGAATTTTTCACAAATGATTCCAGATATATATTCACTTTCTTTGAATTTTTTAACTTCCCGTAGGGCAAGTTATAGTAATCGCAAAAAAATCGAAAATGAAAATTTTTATATATCTTTACGTTTCAGAGGTTTCTGAACATTTTGGCATACCTTAGAAAAAATGGATGTATGTGTGTGTGTGTGTGTGTGTGTGTATGTGTGTGTGTATGTATGTATGTATGTATGTGTGTGTATGTATGTGCGGATACAAATTTTCGTCGACGATTTCGGGAACACGGATCAACCGATTTGAATAATTCAAAAAACATTCGATCCGTATTGATAAGGAGACGTGCTGATTAGTTTTTGGCAAAGGCAGGTCAAGCCGTTCCGAAGATACGGGGCAAAAAGTTCCGAAAACGGTAACTCAGTTTTTAAGAGAACGGAGCGTCCGATTTTAATAATTCAAAAAACATTTTATTTGTATTGACAAGATGAAGAATCGATACAACTTTCATGAAGGTAGGTCCAGCGGTTTCGGAGATATAGAGGAAAAAAGTAAAAAATGAGCCATTTGGCGGTCAAAAATGATCATTAGACATATGCACATCAAATTATCAGACATTTTATAGAGATTTTAACAATAAGTATACATTTTGTTAACATTCCTATCGGTTCCGTACCAATGCTTATGCGTAAGACAGCGACGCGGCGCTTACGCGCTTTATATTTTGTCCCTATGTAGTTAAAGCAGTACGATTGCTTTGAAAAAAAAGTTCAGATCTTCCACAATATGTCAAAATAAAGAAAAAAAAATTTTTTTCAAAAAAAACAAATTTTTTAAAAAAAAAAATTTTTAAAAAAAAAATTTTTTTTTTCAAAATAAAACTAATTTTTTGTCCAATTTATAGTTTCTCAAAAATCTTATTTTTTCAAAGTAATTTTTTTTCAAAAATGTTAATCGTTTTAAAAAAAAAATAATAATTTTTGGTACGGGAAGTTCCAGCAATTTGCCTTAAGGCACGATGCCCTAATTGCCTTAAGACAGAATTCCACTTACAGCTAGTTAATGATCTTTTTTTATAAAGATTCAGTCACTAGGAACGTATAGGTCTGGTAGTCATTTCTGTCCTAAAGTTTTTACGTAATTTTTAATTAGTTTCAATTTTAAAAATTTCTTCTAGCAGTTGCGATTTTAACTGGGGGAGCCAAGAAAAAAGTGCACGCTGTTATTTCGTTGGGAAACTGGATGCATTTCTTAGATTCATTCATCACATTTTTTAGATTTTTTAATCCAAACCTATTTTTAGAGCCATCAAGTGGTCATGATCTTATGAGATATTTTTATACTATTTCTTTACAGTAATTCAGTCGACAGATTTCCGAAAACATTTATTGATTCTCCATTTCAAAAAGACAAATTTATTTACGTATTATTTACGTCGCAAAGTTTTTGAAATCTTTGTTTGGTTTGTGAAATTAATATATCCAAACAGCAATAGTATACATCACAATAAGATTTCGGGCCCAAAATTCTCACATCTTGTGATAACTCATCATAATAACTTGTGATAACTCATCATAATAACGCTTCAGTATCTTTTGTCTTTTGTTCTTTGAAATAGTTATTGCAATCCATCTGGATTAGTTTTATAGATGTGTTGACAAGAATATAGCTTATCGAATGTGAAAATTTTTTACTGTAAATGAATTGATTGCTAGAGCTTGCAGAAATATTGCAGCAAAAATTAATTCTCTTAAAACGTTAGCTTACATGTTAAAGTTCAATACCTCTCGATAATAAAAGAAAATGCAATGTTGTTTTGCTTTCTGATTGCGCTCGTTGGGGGCCTCCCTGGTTCGGGGGCCTTGGATTTTTGATACGGCTGATACGGCGGTAGTTACGCCCCTGATAACAATAAAAAGTCAAAAATTACGGTTCACATATAAATATATCACAACTAAGAAAGAACAGCTTGCGCTGCTAAAACCTATAATACACATGCAACTAAAAACTAATCCAAATCAATGAAATATTACACATGTAAATGTAAGAAAGTAAGAATAGTTTTTGATGATAAGCAAAAACTATTTTTGAAATAAACAGTATACTAGCTGTAAGTGGAATTCTGTCTTAAGGCAATTAAGGCATCGTGCCTTAAGGCAAATTGCTGGAACTTCCCGTACCAAAAATTATTATTTTTTTAAAAACGATTAACATTTTTGAAAAAAATTTACTTCGAAAAAATAAGATTTTTGACAAACAATTAGACAAAAAATTACTTTTTTTTGAAAAAAAAAATTGTTTTAATTTTTTTTTTAATTTTTTTTTTTTTTTTTTTTGAAAAAAAAATGTTTTCTTTATTTTAACATATTTTGAAAGATCTAAACTTTTTTTCAATGCAATCGTACTGCTTTAACTGCATAAAGACGAAATATCAAACCGCGTAAGCGCCGCGTCGACGTCTAACGCGTAAACATTGGTACGGAACCCATAGGAACGTAAACCAAAATTATACTTATTGTTAAAATCTCTATAAAATATCTGATAATTTGATGTGCATATGTCTAATGATCATTTTTGACCGCCAAATGGCATTTTTTTTTTTACTTTTTTCATTAGATCTCCGAAACCGCTAGACCTGCCTTTATAAAAATTCGATCGGTTCTTCACCTTGTCAATACAAGTAAAATGTTTTTTGAATTATTAAAATCGGACGCTCCGTTCTCTTAAAAACTGAGTTACCGTTTTCGGCACTTTTTGCCCCGTATCTTCGGAACGGCTAGACGTTCCTTCGCCAAAAACTAATCAGCACGTCTCCTTATCAATACGGATCGAATGTTTTTTGAATTATTCAAATCGGTTGATCCGTGTTCCCGAAATCGTCGACGAAAATTTGTATCCGCACATACATACACACACGTACATACATACACACACACACACACACACACCACACACACACATACACACACATACATCCATTTTTTCTAAGGTATGCCAAAATGTTCAGAAACCTTTGAAACGTAAAGATTTATAAAAATTTTCATTTTCGATTTTTTTGCGATTACTATAACTTGCCCTACGGGAAGTTAATAATGTTATTATACCCTTTTTACTCCGCTGTCCCTTGGGGGACAACTCATTATTATATTGTCTGGGTACAACTTAAATCTGTCTGCCCTCACCTGACTTCTCCGAGGCACCCGGCTGTTTGTATACATAATGACTCAGTTTGTATTAAAGCGTCAAATAGATCAAGGGTGAGCAATCCGCGGCCCGCGTGGTTTATGCGGCCTTTTGAATACATATTTTTCTGCGTCCAACCAAACATTTCTAAATTAAAGTTTTATTTACTCGTCAACTTTCTTCCACCAATAAATTATTTATAATCCGTCCCTTTCTTTTTATTTAGTTTGTTATAAATGTATATTATAATGTTCATATATATGAAATTAAATAAAAATAATTAATTTTAAAAATTAACTGCGGCTTGTGAGTTAAAAAAATTACTCATTCTTACAACAAATCTTTATAGTGATATGACAGTGTGTTCTCTTTTCAAAATTTACTATTTTTAAAGTGTTTTTTTTTTCACTTTTTTTTAGTAATTTTTTTTATAAACACGGTAAAACGACCGAGCAATAAAAGCAAAGTAAAGCAAAATTTTCATAATAAAAAGACATAAAATACGATATATTACAATTTTAAGTAAATGAAAAACTAGAATCGACCCGCTATGCCTTTTGAAAATTGATTTCAACTTTAACATACTGCAGAAAATAAATTTAGATATTATTGTAAATGTATGTGCTTCTGTGTCCACAAATTCATATAAAACGAATTGCATAACGTACACAATAATATCGTACGTCTTCGTCAGATGCGGCGCCCAGTTGCTAGTACTAGTACATGCATAGATTGT